TTTTTTTTTTTCCTGAGAGAGCCTCAAGCTGTCCTCCTGGTTAGACTGCTGTGGCATCACAGCTCACGGCAACCTCCAACTTCTGGGCTGAAGCGATTCTTCTGCCTCAGCCTCCCAAGTAGCTGGGACTAGAGGCATCCACCATGACACCTGGCTGTTTTTTGGTTGTAGTTGTCATTGTCATTTGGCAGGCTTGGGTTGGGTTTAAACCTGCTAACTCTGGTGTACCTTAGCTGCTTGAGCTACAGGCACAGAGCCCAGCCAACCTTCTTTAATGTCCCCCAGTTCCATTCATGTTGTTGCAACTTACAGGATTTTATTCTTTTTTATTGCTGAACAGTGTCTGTTGTGCACATGTACCACACTTTCTTTATCCATTCATTCATTGATGGACATTTCAGTTGATTCCAAATCTTGGCTATTGGGAGCAGTGTGGTATAATAAACATGGGAGATGCTTCTTTGATATATTAATTTACCTTCTTTTGCACATATACCCAGCAGTGGGATTGCTAGATAATATGGTAGTTCTGCTTTTGTATTTTGGAGAATCACTTGTTTTCTATGGTGGCTATACTAATTTACATTCCCACCAACCATGTGCAAGCATTTTCCTTTCTTTGCATCCTTGCCAGCATCCTTTATTTTTTGTTTTTTTGATAATTTTAATTGGAGCAAGATTTCTCATTGTGGTTTTGATTTGCACTAGACCCTGTCTCTTGCCATATACAAAAATCAAAACGAATTAAAGACTTAAATGTAAGACTTGAAACTATGAAACTACCAGAAGAAAATATTGGGACATTGGTCTAGGCAAAGACTTCTTGAGTAAGACCTCAAAAGCATAGGCAACCAAAAATAGACAAGTGGGATCTTATCAAGCAAAAATATTTCTACACAGCAAAGGATACAATCTCACAAAGTAAAGAGACCTAAAGAGTAGGAGAAAATATTTGCTAACTATTCAACTTGGAAAAGGGATACATAATTAGTCTATATAGTATATAAGGAATTCAACTCATTAGCAAATATCTAATAATTCCATTAAAAATGGCAGAAAGATCTGAATAGACCTTTCTCAAAAGACACACAAATGGGCAACAGGTATATGGAAAATGCTTAACACCAGCATTTTAGCACAAAGTCATTGAAAATAGCATTATTTATTAGTACTGTCTTAGCAGATGATGATTTTCTCTATAGCTCTAAATTTTAAGGCCATTTAAAATTTATTGAATGATAACTTCCTGACAAGTTATCATTTCAGGTAAGACATAAGATACAAAAGAAAATAAAGAATTTGAGACTAGTTGTTGGGGTTGAACATGTTTTTTAAATTTCCATGCTAACTAATAGTGATGATAGTTATTCCCAAGTAGGATCAAATTAAATATTTCTAGAGGTATTATAATTTTTGTTACATGTCCTTTACTGAAACTTTTTTAAGTGTTGGGGACTTAGCTTTATATTTGTTATGAAAAAATAATGATTTAAAATTAGTTAAAATTTAATGTTGTGTCACAGTGTATGACACATCTCTTGGGGGTAGGACACAATTACAATTAGGAACTTTAACAAATGCAGTCAATGTAACCTAACTCCTTGTACCCTCAATGAATTCCAAACAACAACAACAAAAAGAATTAATGCATATAGCACTTACATTTTAGCAACTCTTTTCTCCAGTAATTCCGAAGTCCCACATGACCCCTTAAGGTTTTTCGTTGTGGTATTATCCATACCGTGGTAAAATAGTCCATTTTTCTTACTGATGTGGGAATTTTGATTCTTGAATACCTTTGGAACTCATTATTAGTAGAAGCAAAGAGGAATTAGCCTGTGTCTGTTTAGGCTGTCCCTGAATGATTTGCTTTACCTCTGAAGACTCTCTCCACTTTCAGTATTTAATCAGAGCTGTATAGTGGCTCTGGTTTTCTATAACTTCTCAGTGTATCTGTTAGAGCAGCTAGTATAAAGGGATATCATCTTCTTATAAACTTAATAGAATTTAACTTACTAGTTATATGTGCAAAGTTCTGCCAGGACCACCACCATCTCAACTGATACTCCCCATGGGATCTCCAAAGGATCTGAGGCGTAGATGTCAAACTCTGTAGACATTCTCATCTCAATTATTATTATTATTATCATTATTCTTACTATATGGCCTAGGCTAGTCTCAAACTCTTGCCTTCAAGCAGTCCTCGTGCCTCACCCTCCCAACGTGTTGGGCATATAGGTGTGAGCCACCATACCCGGCCCCCATCCCAGTTTCAAATGTGGTAGTGATCCACACCAGAGGGTTGGAAATGTCAGTATATGTTTAATTCAGTTGTTTTTATTTATTTGCAGGAAAAATATTTGATTTCTTTATAAGAAATATTTCTAATATTTGAAAAAAAATCTTTCTAAATCTGTTAAAAGGAATATATGAGACACTGCCGTATATTCCTTATATTTGAAAGGATCAAAATATATTAATAAAGTACTGTAATAGAAATCAAGAAACTGAAAGTTTTCATTATGTAAATCTGTGACTAATTAAGTCCTTTGTACTCTCCTTAACCTAAATAAGATTTTGGTAGAAGTGGAGGTCCTAACTATGTCAGATAGGAATTCGAAATAAAGGATATTTAGGTTTGGCACCTATAGCTCAGAGAATAGGGTACCCGCCACATACACTGAGGCTGGCAGTTCGAGCCTGACCTGGGCCTGCTAAAGAACAACTGCAACCAAAAAATAGCTGGACATTGTGGAAGGCTCCAATGGTCCCAGCTACTTGGAAAGCTGAAGCAAGACTGAATCATTTGAGCCCCCAAATTTGAGATTGCTGTGAGCTTTGACACCACTGCACTCTAATGAGGGGATATTTTATATATACAGTCATTCGAGTCTTAAGAAAAATAGTTATTTTGTTAGTATATGTAAGCTAGGTGGTTCTTTTGTCATGGAAAGTCTTTGAAAAATATTAAAGGAAAATTTACAGGAACCCTGAAAGATTACAGAAAAGAAAAGGTCAATAAAAGGTAAGGAAAAAAACAAATAAACCCACAATAAATAGAAAACACAAAATAAGACAGTGGAATTAAAGCCAAAAATGTCAGTAGTTACCATAAATATAAATGAGCAGAATTTATTTAAATAACAGAGATGATCTGGCTCGGCGCCTGTGGCTCAAGTGGCTAAGGTGCTAGCCACATAAACCTAAGGTGGCAGGTTCAAATCCTGCCAAACAACAATGATGGCTGCAACCAAAAAAATAGCCAGACATTGTGGTGGGTGCCTG